CGCTCATCTTGTGGTTAGCAGTCCTGTGATTATTCTATAGCGCCGCAAGCAATGATTCCTGTGCGGTTTTTCACTCGATGGCACATAATGAGTGGGAACCGACTCTGCTAATTAAATTTCCATGAAAATTGTTTCCAATCCTTAAGGAGCCCTGATTGCAGAGTGGTAGGCGGTTCGAATGCACAGGTGCTGCAGGAGAGATGTGGTGGTCTATTTCTGCACAGATCACGATTGTGGAGGCCCCAGTGAGCAGGCCTACTCCGCCCTACATGGCTATGGGCTAGAATCCACTCACCAGCACTGGGTTTGCTTGATTTTCCTTCAGTTAACATGGGCTTTCCTTTGAATGTTACTACTAACAACTTTCACCCAAAGTCTACAATTTTAGCTAACATTTATGCATCAAAATTAATCCACAAGAGACCTTTGAGAACATATAGGTGAGGATTTATATAAGGTCGGCTTTTGTAAAGGATTTATGCCTGAATTCAAAGTAAAAGATAGACACTGACATATTTCATTTCATAAAATACAAAGTTTCAACACATAAAAACACTATAAAAATATGACAAATATTAACAATAGCTTTAGTAAATATTAATATACAAAAGAAGTCTAACAAATCAGTTAAAAAAAAAAGTCATATAATTTATTGGTATATAATCTTCATAAACTCCTGTTTGGTTTGGTTTTTACTTTGATGATAAAAAATGACATCTTTAAGGTAAATTTATAAATAAAGCAATTAATTATAGCTGACATAATAAAGCAGCCCCACCCCCACCCCACAAAAAAACAGAGAACAAAGAATATGGTGGGAACCTCTCTTAGGTGGTTCAGAATCTCAGCCTTTATACTTCTATTCCACCCACTGCCCCCCACCCCCTCAAACCACACATAAAACTGAGCAGACTAGAAGAGAGGACAAAGCTCATGAAGGCGTAATTCACAGCCACAAAAAGATGGCCTCACTAGTAGTGGAAGAAACAGAAAACAAAAATGTTTAATGACATCCCTCGTCTACAACACTGATTGATACACGCAGAAAATGATCACCAACAGAAGGCACTTCAAATCCTGGGTAAAAGCACAGAATAGGGAGCAAACTGGATGGTTTGGGCTGGCACTGTGCTGGGGTCGACTTGTGACGACTTGGGAGAAGCACTGAAGTACAGCGCCTTTCCAAGTGCAAGGTTAATGAGATCAGACAGGTGGGTGAACTGGACCACAGTGAGAGCATTCATTCCGCAGTGAACACTTCCACACAGGGGCCTTTTTCACGAGAAGCAGCGGCTGAACGTTCACCAGCACATCACTGGATTACGAACTGGATATGAATCCACTTGTTCAAACATGCTGTTATTGTTACTGGTTGTCACACTGAGAGTCTAAATCGTGGTGATCCTGTGTGTGCAGAGAGTTTTCAATGCCTCTCTGAAGCAGCTCATCAGAGTTGTCTTCTGAGGTACCTGAGGGTGGGTTTGAACCACTACACATTTTAGTTAATAGCTGAGCACTGAACTGGGATACCCAGGTGGCTCCTTTGTTCAAACACAACCACACACAAATTTTAATAAAATATACAAATAAAAAATTACCAAATAAAGAGAAAAATCAATAGGATAATTTGATACAAAGTTTAACAACAGCATCTTTAAAAATAATAGTTTAAATACTATAGGGCACAAAATACAAAAATAAAATGAAATGCTTCACAAAATACGAATCACTGGGATACTTCAAGTACGTCCTTAGACTATGGAGTCCTGGTATGGCACTTCAGGGTAATGAGCTGGACCACAAGGACAGTTTAAACCACAAGGTTAGCAGTTCAAACACACCAGCTGCTCCTCGGATACCCTATAAAGGGTCACCAAGTGTCGGAACCAACTCGATGCACTTAACAACAATTTAAAACTATGCTTCACTAATTACTTGATTCCTCTGTATAACTTATATGAAGTCCTAGAGAAGCTGTATTAATATCAAATTGGTATCTTGTTCATCAGCTAGCTCCAGCTAAGCTGTGAATTGGACAGCAGTATCTAGAACACTGTGCAGATTTAACACATGACGGTCCTAACAACTCAAGCAGCCACCACTGGAAAAGGTATTCAGCATGAAGAATATATCTGAGGAAATGGATCTTCATCTTTTTTTAAAAAACAAACATGAATTAAGTGGAAACTTTTCAAATGTGTTTTACGTATTTGTGTTGGTCATGATTTCACCTTTTCTGGACAGAACTGTTTCATCAGGTGTGCTGGTAGAGAGATGAAGAATGCCATGACTGGATATGTACCGTCAATGATTCTTGGAAAGAAGGTAGCTTACATGAAACCAATTTCAAATTTCACTTCAGAACTCAACACTGAGTCTTAAAATTAATGTATAATGGTATACAAAAAGTAACTCCTAGATTTTTAAGATTTAAAGAAGTCTCTTTACCAAAAAAACATGATAGCACGTTAACAAAAAAGTATTTTCTTAACAGCGCAAGTCTGTCATTTACTAGGTTAAAACTCCACGCGGTGTTTCTTTCTGCTCTAAAGTCAGTGCCCCCTTAACAAATGCATGAGATGACAGACGAAAAGCATTTAGCAGGTGTCAGATAAATGAAACAGCTTCATAAACTACAAGCACAAGAAACATAAGGAAGTATTCTTCATTTTAAACTTGCTTTCAGCAAGGTGTTCTAACTAAAAGTTTCCAATGAGCTATTTGACAGAGTCCCAAACACACACACAGAATCTGAGCGATCAGAAGGAAATGATTCCATACCACCACCATCAGTGAATCTGACCTTGTAATATCCAAGTGATACACTTGGTGATGTTTACAAGTTTGTCATTATTAAAATTCTTCCAGAAAACAGTGTTTAAAAAAAGACACTTGCAATTTAAACTGGAATTGCAAATTTACTCACCAAAAATACAATCTTAAAAGGTTAGGCAGTAGAAAGCTTACCCTACAACACTGTATTCTAGAAACATGTAAATTTTAAGTGTAGGACAGTGGTTCCGCAAGACCCTTCCAGGGACGATGCAAGTTCAAAGCTGCTCTCTTTGAGAACAAGCCTGACGCTCCTTTTGTCACAAGCGTGCAGTGCGGAGCTGGAGAAGAGGCAGCATGTCCAACACCTAGTGTGGCAGCAGAGGCAGGCTGGGTACTGCTGACTCCAGTTAGCCAGAGAGCAAAGAAGTACAAAAACACAAGACAATATTCTTCTTTGCATAGCTCTTTGTTTTGGAAAAGGTTATTTTTCATTTAAAAAAAAAAAAAAAAAAAAAGCTGTCTACACTAGCATAAAAAAAATGAGTCTATTATTATTATATTTATACCAACATTAAAAATATTTCAGTACCAATTTCTAATACAGTACACTTCAATATGGCCCTGAAGGATCAGCACTGGACTTTGAACCACAGGTCAGTAATTCAAACTCACCAGCTGCTCTTTGGAAACCCTACGTAGGGTCTCTATAGGTCAGCACGGAGGGCATTTAACAACGACCAAAAACAGAAAGAAAAAAAGCCCCCTAAACAAAAGTTCTTTGGAGTCTCTAATAAGTTTTATAAGTTATGGTCCTGAGAGAAAAATGTTTGAAAATGGATAGTATTGTGGTAAGAAAGCAGGTAGTTTTAATCTCAGTTCATGGAACTGACAAGAATTGTCCTAGGAGGGGGCATGATGTTGTGGGGGGAAGGGGGGAATAAGTAGGCAAAGTGGGAGGAATCTCACAAAGTATTGATGGTGCTTCTTCATATTTATAGAATTACTTTAAGTAAATCTCAATTTTCACCAAAATGACAATATGTCTGTAAACTTTATCAAAAAGGTGTGCCACCCTAAAAGAAAATAATTCCTTATTCCACCTCTCTGAGCCAAGACAGAAGAGAAGCTATGCCCCAACCAGTAAGCCTGAAAACTTACAGGACTTCAATCTTATCCATGTTCGAGGATTTTCTCCTTTTCGGCACTCAATACACAGCTAGAAGCAGATCTGAATAAAAACTCTGTAAGTTTTTACAGTAAATAGGATCATTAGAAAATCCATCATCATGTTCTATCTCTTCTTGAGTAGACATTTTGATGCTATAATCAATCATTCTAAATATGCCAATGTTGTTGTTGTTAGGTGCCATCAAATCTGTTCTGACCCATAGCAGCCCTGTATAGGGTTTCCAAGGAGCAACTGGCGAGCTTGAACTGTCAACCTTGTGGTTCAAACAGACTTTGAAGCCCAGTGTGCTACCTACAGCACCACACCAGGGCTCCAAAATATGCCCGTAAGGGTTCCCATTTCATTTTGACGTTTAAAATTTACCCGAGGGGGAAACAAAAAAGTCTTTGAAACTATTTTGATCACAACTGTTTAATTTACTTGTTTCTTCGATGGTAAGCCCAGTGGGTTATTGGGGTACTGGCCTACAATCTATGACTTTTTGTACATATATGAGCTGATTGAGACTTGATACAATTTAAACACAGAAATTCAAAGACATTTCTTTAATTTTCCCTCTAGGCACCCCCCAAATGTAGACACTTCAAATACATAGCAACACACACCTGGGCCTTTGCAGCATTCACTTAATTCTAGAAGAAAGGAGCGGCGCCCTGCTCAGATCACCCGTGGGCTTGCCAGTTGTCCTGCTCGCCAGATAGCTTCAGCTAATGTGTGCGCTGGACAGCAATGGTACACCGAGTCTAGAACACTGTATGGATTTCACATACGACTGTTAGGTAGCCACCACTGGAAATGGCATGCCACCTGAAGAATATATGTGAGGAAACAGATGTTCACCTCCCAAACTTGTTTGCCATGATTTCACCTCTTCTGGATGGCAGCAGACAGTTACCTGTAGTGAGTCCTCTAGCTGGGGGCTGGCTGCTCTTACACTCCAAGGTGTGTGCTCTTTAGTTCTGTCAAGTCTCCCTTCGAGCCATCACCCATACAGATAATGAGACAGGTTGGGAAGTCATAGGATCAAAGTGGTTACAGTTTGTCAGTTGTGTTCTGTTTTGATAAGATTGCCAGGTTCTCGCTGGATGAATGAGACATCACTATACATAAATATTTAAACAAGTTCATTTGAATATTAACAAGAAGATAGAACTAAACATTAGTGTCATTACCTTTTTAAACAAAGTATTCTATAATTTAAAGGTAACAATGGGCATTCTGGTTAACATTCCAGCTTTTCAAACACCCCTTGTCCCCTAAGCAAAACTGAAGATAAACAAATGTCCTATTAGGTTTGTCAAAAACAGGGGGGTGACCCCCAAAAAATTGAGGTGCAATCATGTCACGGTAAATGCCATGTCTGCTACCAATACATTCAAAACAATATACGTTTAATAAAATCAAGTTAAAATAGCCTTTTGCATTTTTAATCTGAGAATTCAAGTTACTTAAAAAAATGTAAATACACATACATGCAAATTGTTCATATATACAAATTTTCACAAAATTAATAAGTTGCCAAGAAATTAGAAGAGTTTATAGTGGATTTGACAAGCTACATTGAAATGCTTTACCACTGACATATTCCTGAAAATTGCAGTCATGGTAGTTTGAATAAATTTTCTACATGGCCTTTTAAAAAAATCTTCTCTTTCAGACATAAACAGGAGGCCCTAGGACGTCTTCTGATCCAAGAATTCAAGATGTTCCCAATTCACTGCTCTTATTTAAGGCCACTTTGGTAAAGGCATTGCAGCAAAAACACAGAAACCAATAGCATATTTTCTAATATTTATTTTTTTTCACCTGCAAACTGTAGCAAAACATGATCAGCGTTATTATATGCAGACTGGCACCGGTACACTGTTAAAAGGATTCGGGCGTGGATAAATAGAAGAGCTCTTTAGAAAGGAAAACTCCAATTCTGACTCTGTCACTCTGCAGTAGCCAATGGTTAAAGGGCTTTCGGTCATTCATTCCAGGGTAGATGGCAGCAGCCCCTTGAAAGTGGCTGATCTACTTCTCCAGTAACATTTCCCGCATAACACTGTGTTAAAGTTACAAATACTGGTATGCACAGACAGCTAATTTCTAAGAAAACTATGTACATACTGCAGCATAATGAATGTGGTATCTGCAATAACCTCCTATTAGCCAATTTTGAATATACATGATACCGCTACCTTTGTCTGCCAATTCACAGGTTAAAAGTTGTTACTGGAGCCCTCTGTTTTGCACATATGACGACCTGGTGTTTAATAAACAATTGCAGGCTTTTTAAAAAACTTCTTTTGTGTTTAAAGCTAAGATCAGTGAAACAAGACAACAGTGCAAGAGGCGGAGAGATGTCATGTGACCACATAAGTTCGTTCCAGTCAAGTGTCTATATAAGGCTATAAGAAAGGGTTGGTTGATGAACTTCCCGCAGGAAATTGTCCCGTTGGAGCACCAGTCTAAAGGAAAACATAAAAGAAAAATAAACAAACATGTAAAAAGTACGGTGTGAAAAATACAGACATTGTTGTTGTTAAGTATTGTCAAGTTGGTTCTGACTCACAGTGACCCTATATAGAGTTTCCAAAGGAGCAGCTGGTGAGTTTGAACCGCTGACCTTGTGGTTCAAACCGACTTTGTGGTCCAGTGTTTTGGCGCCACACCAGGCCACCAAACTATACTTGTTAAGATTAGAATGACTTGGGTTATTATTGGCAATAATACGAGGGGACTTCAAAAGTTTTGTGAAAAGTGGAATAAAAATATAATGAAATTTTTCCACAAACTCTATGAAGCCCCCTCGTACTGACTGGTTACTTTTGGTAGAGATGCAACTACAGCAAAGCTCTCCCGTGCCAAGCACTGTTCTGCTTCTCTTATTCTTCTCATAATCGCTCACAGAAGGGGCGTCCCTTAAAAAAAATGCACTTGTGATTCAACCCAATTCTGGCTCCAAGCTGCTCACTCACTCCTACAGCATCTCATTGTTTTAACCAAGAAAACCAATGAGCATCATGCTAGGTTGCTGCTGGGGGCCATCAAGTCTGTGTGACTCACACTGCCCTCATGGACCACAGTCCAACCCACTGCCTGGTCCTGCACCGTCCCCACAAATGCTGGGGATTTGTAAGCAGATCCACGCTGTTTTAAAGTCTCCATTTGTAGGATCTTCTGATTGGCATTATCAGTAGAATACCAAGTAACCTGTAAGGAGACTCACTTCCTGCTTCTAGTCATTTGAGAAGTGCATAAAAATGAAAAAATGAATCTCACTTACCATAAAAGGATTACTAGATACTCCAGCAGCTGCAACTTGACCAAAAGGAGTTACCATTGGCTTTGTTTGTCCAAATGCTGCAAAGCCTGCACCTTGTTAAAACAGAATTACCGATTATAACTTACACCTTCAAGAGACAAGCTAATGCTTACAAAGTCCTATAATGAGTTTCAGAGAAATGCCTACAAGAGTGGTGGTGGTGGTGGTTATGTGGAGTCGGTTCCGACTCATAGCGACCCCGTACAGGGTTTCCGAGACTGCAAATCTTTACGGGAGCAGAAAGCCTTACCTTTCTCTCGCAAAAACAGCTAGTAGTTTCGAACTGCTGACCTTGTGGTTTGCAGCCGGATTCGTAACCACTACGCTACCAACATTTAGGTCTTTAATCCATGTTGAGTTGGTTTTTGTATATGATGTAAGATAAAGGTCTTGGTTCAATCTTTTGCATATCAATTTCCAGTTTTGCCAGCACTATGTGTTGAAGAAATTATCTCCTCCCCATTCAATGTACTTAGGCCCTTTGTCAAAGATCAGCTGGCTGTATGCGGATGGGTTAATTTCTGGATTCTCATAACCAAACGTTAATGTGAAATCTGGGCTCTCCTCCTTTTCCAAATCCCACAGAAAAGGTCCTGTCATATGGCTGTCAAACAGCTCTCCAGAGTTGGCTAATCAAACAATTCCAGCTGTGACATTCCAGGACTTCGTGACTAGATGACATGAAGACTACTTAGGGAGGTCTGCAAGGGCAATTGTAGCCTTGGTGGCACTGTGGCTGAAGTGCTCAGCTGCATACCAAATGGTCCGTGATTCAAACCCACCACCTGCTTCCTGGGAGAAAACCCTATAGGGAGGTCTACTCGGTCCTCTAGAATTGTGGGTTTGGGTTTGTTTATAGTTGGTAAGGGTGACATCATGGTCTCTATGTGAATATTCTATTGTTCCTTATGAAATATTTGATAATTTAGGGATCTGCCATGGAATCTATTTCCAAGCTGTTACCTAGTCACTAACTTCAAAAAGGAAAACGTGATGATAATTCAAGAACACTCTTCAAAATTGTGGACTTCACACTTTACCAAATAACAGAAACAAGTATTAAACAACACTGGTTTCTTGCACATCTTGCTGAACCTGAAGCAAACATCAAAATCTAACTATAGGATACATATCTATGTAGGAAATTACTCATTTTACCAAAAAATTCTCATAAAAAATGAGACGTGAGCAACATGGTTGTAATGGCAAAGAAAATAAAACTCTAGGTCTGTCAAGTTTCTTTTAAAAAATCAACAGGCATGAGAACATACAAGAGGAATGAATGAGACCTATGAAAGGAGGTTAGTCTGGAGACAACCAGTGATTTCTCTGACATCTGTAATCTTGTCACACAAACTCACACAACAGCTGCCTTAGTGAGGCCCAAATCACCGAAGGATTCTATTTTTGAGTAGATAATAGTAAACATTCTTTCCACACCAGGGCTCCAGTATTAAACATTCTTTAGATACCCTTTTTGTCAAAACACAAAACATGAAGATGCACAAAGGATGCCTCCAGTAGACTTGAGCTAACCAGTGTCGGGTCTTACCATTAGGCTGTTGAGAAAACGCCGTCTGCTGTGGGAAAGCTGCTTGGGCGGGAAAGGCAGGCTGTTGGAAGCTGCCACTAAAGCTGGTAGGAAGGCTGTAGGGAGCAGGAGTTCCAAACCCCGCAGGCATGCTCATGGATGCAGTGCCGAAGGTAGCCGCTGGCAGGAGAAGAGGGGAGAATCCGTTACATATACAGGAGAGCTTTGTTTCTCACACTCAACATTATATAACAGGGGCCATTAACCTCGGAAAACATGAGTGGATAGGAAATGTATCTTAAATTCCAACAAAGTCTGTAATTAGGAGTGAGTTTACTTGTAGGTAAACAAAAGCAATCACAAGCACTAGCCAGTGTAGCACAACTTATGAAATGTGTTCTCTTATTATCCACGGACGAGAATGAAGCCAATAAAGCTGCTAACTGAAACTCAAAACAAAATTCTCAGTTTAGGTCAGGAATACACATTAGCCTATATTTTAAAGTTCTCCTTCACTCAATTAACGTATATACTAGTATATACTTCTTTATTTTGTATTGCTATATAAAATACAATAATATCTAACATTTTCACTTTACCTATTAGTGTGTCTGCTATAATATATGTGTTCCTGGGGTGACGGGTGGTGGGCAGAGAAGCTGTACAAAACAGTGCACTACCACAGGGTTTATAGGAGAAACCTGGGTTAGAGGCAGACAATTCAAAACTTTTACACTATTGGAATCAGAGCAAACAAACAATAGAATTCTAATAAAAATACTAGCACACTAAAAAAGGACAGGCTAAATTCCTAATATATCAATTATAAAACATATGACTTCCTCCTCCTTTGCAGGGTCAATGAAGGCAGCAGCTGAAAGGGGCTATAGTACGCCCGTTCAGATAGACTGCTGAGTTATATAAATTAGGGTGAAATGTACAGATTGGAAGAGAAGTGAAACAAGCATTTGTCAGGGAAGAAACGGCTGTAGGGGGCAGCCGGCACTGTGCTTCTGTCATGCCATGCCCAGCTGCTAGTACCGGGTAGAATGGGACATGAAATGTGTTGGAGATAATCAATAGGAACAACCACTGAGTTGTGTTACATTGCTCTCTTTCTATTATTCCACCCATTTACCAACAACCATTTAGGAACTAATGTGCATTACAGACCCACAGAGCTCGAGTTTAAGCCAGGAAAGATTTCAAACAAAACCTTCCAATGATATGTTTCAGGAAAGGTCTTGAGAAATAAGAGCCAACCATGGTACATCTTTAAAGTCGAAAACTCGTAACTACGTGGTGAAATGTTTTTGGCAAAATGCTTTCAAAAAGTCTTAAGCCAATGAATATCCTGATTTTTTAAAAATTACCAACTTGATCATTGATTTAGGCATAGAAATTAAAATTCATAAATGGTGCCTAGAACTGTGTCTTTTGTTAAAACAATCCTGAAGGCACGTTAACAGATGCTGCCCCATGTAATACGTAGTTTTCATGCCTGTAACAATGCAATGTGCTTCAATGAGTCAATTAGAATTTGCCAACATTACATTTAATTTTTTTTTTTTTTTTTTTTTGCTATTGGGTTGAAAACAAGGGAACAAGCCACAGGGAAGCAGGTGAATGAGCACAGGAGACGCCAACAGCTAGTGAGACGAGAGGGGGCGTAACACAGAGCCATGCACCCGCCGAGCCTGACCAAGCGCAGACTCAGAAAGCACGGCTCCCGCGAGGCAAAACCACACCCCATGGAACAACGTGGTACAATGGTTGTCTACCCCAAAAGCACTGCTCCAAGTTCTATGCGTTCAAGCTCAAGAAAAACAATCACAACAGCTATTCAAAGTCCACATAGTCCAGGAATTCAGCAACAATTCGTGTGGGCAGTTGTAAGCGCTCACAGGAGATTTTCAGGTCCCTTGAAGTCCACTGTAATCCTGGTGCTACACATCCATGCCCGCTCCATTTTAAACCATGGAACAAACTGAATCCCACATGCAGGGACTGGGAAAAGTCAGTAGCAGAGGCTCCCACAAGCAGGTAGACACAAAACGAGCTATGCATGGTGGCCACCTACCAAAATGAGCGTGCGGGAACACCCGAGAGTGTGCTGCTCCCGAAAGGCCTTTTGGAAAGCCAGAGAGACTTGCGTCAATGGCCTTACAGTAATGAGATTGTTCAGAAACACACGAGACTGTTTCAGGAAAAGGCTCCCTAGTTAGGTACACGGCTGCAAAGCGGTAGCATAACAACACATAACAGAAATACACCCATTAAAACAGCCTTTTTATTTCAACTACATTCATGATACATTGTTAGAAAAAAGGAGATTAGAAATGCAGTAACTTTGTAATATAAACACTAACATGCTATTCATGTGAAGGCACAGCCATCTTTTAGAATATCCTCATCTCTCCTGTAAGCTCTCACTCATTTCACACCTCTGCATCCCCACCCCCTACAATCTGCCCATCCAGTTCTTGGCACCCATGGATTGACTTTGTTGCTCCACGGGAGAACTCAGTTGAGGCTGTCTGCTCCTGTAACGATTTACAGCCATGGAAACCCTATGCAGTGTGACTATGAGTCGGAACCGACTCCATGGCACACTACCACCACCACCACGAGTCAGAAGTGACTCAATGGCACACAACAACAACATATAACATGTGGTCTTTTGTGAATGGCGTCTTTCACTTTACATGTTTTCAAGGTACACCTTGAAACTGATCCATGCCTGGATCAGTACTTCATTCCATTTTGCTACCAAGTAATATTCCATTGTAAAGACATACCACAATGATTTTATCCATCCATCAGTTGATAGACATTTGGATTGCTTTCACTATTTGGCTTTTAAAAATAATTCTGCTAATAACACATGCATACAAGTTTTTGTGTGGACAGGTGTTTTCATTTTTCTGGGGCACATAATCCAGGAGTGGAATTACTAGGGAGTCCTGGTGTGGCACTGTAGGTTAATGTACTGTAAGGTTGGTTTGAACCACAGGATCAGCGGTTCAAGCTCACAGCCACTCCCTGAAATCCTATACAGGGTCATTATGAGTTAGAACTGACTTGAAGGCAGTTAACAACAACATGGCAACTCTAGGATGAACTTTGTGAGGACCTAACACACAAAGTCCTGGTGTGGCGCTGGACCACAAGGTTTGCGGTTCAAGCTCCCAGCCACTCCTCAGAAATCCTATACAGTGTCACTATGAGTGGGAACCAACTCGATGGCACTTCACAACAACACTGTTGTCCAGAATAGCCGTACCACTTTACATTCCTAGCAGCAATATACAGTCTTCTTACTTCTCTTTATCTGCACCAAAACTTGTTAGAATCTTTCTTGACAGCAACCACCCAAGTGAGTGTGAAGTGGGTAGCTCAGTGTGGCTTTAATTTGCATTTCCTTGATGACTAATGAAAGGAGCCCAGGTGGTGTAGGGACGAGGTGCTAGGATGATAACGGAGAGATGGGCAGCTCCACCCCAGCAGCCATGCCTGGGAAGAAGACATAGATCTGGCCGCCTGCTTCTGTCCGTACCACTGCCTGGGAACGCAGTGGCAGTTCCATGTCACCCATCAGTCGGATTCAGAGGTGCTGGCAATGGGGATTGACTAATGACAGTGAAAGCTTTTTTATGTGCAAATCTATTTTATAATTGGTTGTTTAGATTTTTATTTTATTACTGACTTACAAAAATTATATATTCTAGAAACACGTCCCCTATCTGATTTGTAGATATTTTCTTGTTGTTGTTGTTGTTAAGTGCCATCGAGTCGGGTCCGACCCATAGCGACCCTGTACAGGGTTTCCGAGGGTGTAAATCTTTACGGGAGTAGAAAGCCTCATCTTTCTCCCGCGTTAGCCTTCAATATATTTTAGTTTTCTAGTTTCTGTTAACTTACTACTTTCGTGCTTCTTTATTACCAAAATGACATATCTGCTACAAACTGTTGTTAAGTACCATCTAGTTAATCCCAACTCACAGCAACCCTGTGTACGGTTTCTGAGAAGCAGCTGGTGGGTTTAAACTGACAACCTTATGGTTCACAGTCCAGTACTTAGCCACACTTCTGTAAGTGCTGACTGTAAATCCTTACATGCTAGAAATGTTCAAATATTAGGAGTAAACAGAGAGAAAGTATACGAAGTAAAAAATTAGCTCTTCTATGAACAAACTGTGTCTTACATGTCCCATGTAACATCTATTTTGGCTTTTTTTTTTTTACTTATCCTTCTCTCCTGCCCAGTGTTTGTACCAATCTCCATTTCCAAAATACATTAGACAAGTGAGATGGACTTACTGAGTAGTTACATATAAACTAGGAATAATGTGCATTACATTAGTACAAAACTAGGTTATACAAATACTTCTTGGGGTCTGTAGCTTACAGTCACCTCCAAAGAGAATAATTACTATATACCAGGGTCAAAACCAGATACTGCAGCGCACTATCATATGTCTATGTAACATCTAGGGTGATAGAAGCAGTATGTTATCAGGAATGAAAACAGTGCCAGTTTAGATGACGTCTGACCATCAGTATCAGGTTACTCACATTCATTCATTTTCAACCCTTCAGGCAAGCCCACTGATACTTTTCCAAATCCGTTTCGACCTAAGCAGGGAAACAAGGATGCTGGCTCCAGGTTAGCTACGTCTTGGCCTTGAGTTCCTACGTGTTGAGAACTAAAACGAATGCTAATAAATTTCATAAGGCCATAAAGGGGAGCTCTAAGAGGCACCGAGAGGTACCCAACCACTGAAAAGAAAACACACTCTACTAATTTGCTTGAGGTCCTGGGGGGGTGATTCAGGATAAGCACAGGACTGCTAGTTTCCAGGTCAGTGGTTCAAACCCACCAGTCACTCTTCAGAAGCCCTATTTGATGACACTTAAAACTACAATTAACATTGTAAGTCCTGAAATATTTTTTAAAGGATTTAAAAATAAAAATAAAATTTATCAAAGAACCCTAAAATTAAAGGAATTTGTAAATCTTAGATCATCTAACATACAGAAAGTTGCTATTGTGAAAAGTTAAAATCCAGAAAAATATGGTTACAATCAAGTCTCTTTCACACAGAACTTTTCCTTGATACCCTCTTTTAAAAGCTAATTCAAAATGTAATTTAGTAAAAGAAACATAAGAGGGCAACAAAACTATTTTCTAAAGAACACAGACGTTTGCTTGTCAAAAATACTGATTTTCAGTTTCAGTAGAAATAGCTAACATTTAATTTGATTTAGTTAATTAAATGGACTTCCTGGTGTTGTGCTGTAGGATAAGCACAGGATTGCAAACCAAAGGGTTGGTGGTTCAAACCCATCAGCACACCATTTAAAAAAAATTATATTTGGTAGAACTCAGTATTTAATATTTATTTATTATGCTCAACACTGACAAATTATTGCTGAAGATATTTATGCAAAAAAGTAAGAGTAATAGTTTAAATTGCTAATATTACAACTCTTAATCTCGCCAATGACAGATCTGAAAATAACTATTAATCCTTAACGGCACTAATTCAGTGTTAACATTACCAGTATTCATAGCTTCCAAGATTTCTTACCAACATTTGCTGGAGTTTTAGGCCTCAAGTCTAAAATTACTGAAACACATACAAAACAAAGCTTACAAACTCTAAAATTAATGGATATCAGAGAAAATACTCAAACTTTTATATCCCAAAATAAAGACTCTGTTATTGAGAACATGTAACAAAACCCATCGGCCTCACACAAGGATATAGAAATGGAGCCCTGGTGTGGTTGTAGGTTAAGTACTGAAGAAAGGTCAGGGATTCAAACCCACCTTGGAAACCTTACATAGCAGGGTCACCATCAGTTGGGACTAAAGCACTTACCAACTATAAATGTTGTTATGTGCCGTGGAGTCGGTTCTGACTCAGCAACCCTATACAGGGTTTCCGAAGCTGTAAATCTTTACGAGAACAGAAAGCCTCATCTTTCTTCTGCGGAAAGCTACCAGAGCTCCTTAACAACTATATGTATACACATAAACACACACACACACACACACTTGAATTTCTCCACCAATTTTTGAAGCTCCCTCATTTAACATGAAATTGTTCTGTTAAGACTGATTAAGTATTTAGCCAGTAACCCTGAACCCAGACCACAAACCAAGTCAAAATTACAGCCTTCCAGTCTCAACTCAGCCATGTATACTTAAGCACTCAGTTGCAGGCTTGGGCTTTCTATCTGAAAAAGAAACAACTGACTGTGGACTGGTGAGCACCAGGTAACCACAAAGGCCATGAAATCCCACTATTTTACAGATGCGCCACACGTAGTTTTACTTATAGACAAAGTGGTCCCATTCACTGTAGGGGGAGAGACCCCCCTCTCTGGTGTTCATCGTCATGTGGTGTCGTTGCAATAAGACTTTCTCTAATGCTTACGGAATTGTAGAGTCTGTCTGTCACATTCCTTACCTGTGGCTCCTCTGGCACTGGTCTGAAATGGATTTGTAGAAGATGCCACAGAAGGACCAGCAGCAGCAACAAATGGATTTGTGGAAGGTGGAGCTTTGAAAAATTAGAAAATACACTATGAAAATCCTAGGACTTTTTGATTTCAAGTACTTTAAATATTTGTTCACTTGTTTATCAAGAGAGGAAAACTCGAACTTTCTGATAATAAATCATTGCTCTATTTCCTGGTACTCCTAAGAAAATACACTATGCCATGCCTCAAAGCTGATTATAAAACCAAAATAGCAGAAACACGCACCTCCAAATGGAGCAGGCACACTCGAAGAAGCAGGCTGTGTGGATGCCGAAGCGCCCACCGGTACTGTTCCAAAAACATTGCTAAAAAGAAACATCGCAAGAGTTCCCATATTAAGACAGAAGGAAAAAAGGCTATGACATGCTAACATAACAGTTTTACAAAACTTGAATATGTTTTCTAAAACAAAAAGAATTTTGTGAGAAAAGCAGCACCATTTACCATTTGTCCATGTTTGCAAACCTCTTTCAGGTCTTCCTTAATAGACAAGAGTGCAGTCCCATGACTGGCCAGTCCTAATCTCCAGGAAAAGTGGGTATGTAGTAAAAATGGGGGCTGGGCCCCACAACTCAACCACCACACATGTGCTTTTCCTAAGACCGCCCCCATTCTTCCCCTCCACTGTTCCATGTGCGCTTATTTAAAATCACAGAAAACTAGGATGATGCCTAAGGAAGGGTCAAGATTTAATACAAACAATTTAAAAGATTTAATCCAATTATTTTTTTTCTGTTTAAAGAACATTCATGATAGGATAAGCACTGGACTGCTAACCACAAGGTCAGCAGTTCAAATCCACAGTGGCTCCTTGGAAACCCTACACAAGGGGTGCTGTGAGTTGGAACTAACTTGACGTCACTTAGCAATGCCAAGACTAATTTGTCATTAGTTTGTACAAGGGACCACACATTTCACCTCCCATTGCTTTTGTGCCATAAGTGCATGTATCGACTCAGTGAAAAGTTAAGTAACCTCCTAAAACTATGATGAAGTTGCTTTCATCTGATAGCTTCCCCTGCAAGGGTCTCAAGGAGCCCAAATGTTTCCTGGCTCTGTCACTGTGCCAATATTATAATGCGTTATTTAGGAGTAGACCACTTGTTATATATACATGTATTTCCATACACTGTGGCCACCATTACACTATTATACATGGGAAAATTCCATGATCCCTTCATTCCATTTTTCTACCAACTTTCTGAAACTCCTATAGATATGCATGAAGGTTAAGGGCTCAGCTACTGATTCACACCCACCAGCAGAGTCCCAGGGAAAGAGGACCTGACAACTGGCTCCCAGTAAGGCTGCTGCTATTAGAGACTGTCGAGACTCACAGCCATCCTGTGAGGGTTTCCAAGGAGCAGCTGGTGGATACGAACCACTGAACTTGTGATTCACAGCCCAGTGCTGATCCTACAGTGCCACGCCACGAGTCCATAAAAATGACTGCCTAGGAAATCATATGGGGCAAGTCCACTCTGTCTGAGACAAAAACTCACCATCATCCAACTCAAAGTGACCCTGGGCAGGGTTTCCAAGGCTGTAAATCTTTAAGGGAGCAGAAAGCCTCATGGTTCTCTCACACAGTGACGGGTGGGTGTAAACCGCTAACCTTTGCACTTAGCAGTCCAGTGCTTATCCTACAGCACCACCAGGGTTCCTTATTCTCTGTGGCATGGTGGTGGTTGTATGTATGGAGTCGTTTCCAACTCACAGCGACCCTGTACAGGGTTTCCAAAGTTGTCAGTCTTACAGAGGAGAAAGCCTCCTCTTTTTTGCCGTGGAATAATGGTAGAGTCCAACTGCTGACCTTTCAGTTAGCAGCCTCGTTTGTGATCCACTATGCTATTAGGGCTCCTTACTCTCTGTCCTATAGGGTCGCTATAATTCAGAACTGACTCACTGACAAAACAACAGTGCACATAATATGGAGCAAAACAGTATTTGTTTGTTGTGAAGTGCCATCAGGTAGGTTCTGACTCACAGCCATCCTGTATAAGGGTTTCCAAAGAGCAGCTCGTGGGTTTGAAGTGCCGACCCTGTGGTTCGCAGTCCAGTGCTTATCCAACAGGTACTGGGATTGAATGTTCTTCTCATTGTTAAGTGTCTGTCTGACTCATAGCCACCCTGTAAAGGGTTTCTGAAGAGCGGCTGGTGGGTTTGAACCACCCACCTTGTGGTTAGCAATCCAGTGCTTATCCTAAAGTACCACATCAGGACTCCATACTTAATTTAAACTCCTATCCGAGTGCCAACCCCCATTTAGCATACAGAAACTCATAGAAAGAGTCCTGGTGGCAAAGTGGTTCATGCTCAGCTGCTAACCTGAAGGTCAGTGATTCGAAAACCAGCAGTTGCTCCACAGTAGAAAAGATGTGGCAGGATATTTCACACTACTGGGAAAGCCGACGTAATACAGACAACTCACAAAGTGGAAAACAAACATATGAATAAAACTGTACAAGGAAATCACCTAGCTGTTCTGGAAGCTTCCTTCATTATAAAATGAAGAAGTCACAATTAGAAAACATTTTTAAAGGTCTAATGTCTTTACTGTAGTGGTTATGAATAGGGCTGCATACCGCAAGGTCAGCAGTTTGAAACTACCAGCTGTTCCATGGGAGAAAGATGAGGCTTTCTGCTCCCGTAAAGATTTACAGCCTCCGAAACCCTGTACAGGGTCACTATGAGTCGGAACCGACTCCATGGAACTTAACAACAACAACAACAGTCTTTAAGGAGTACTGGTGTGGTGCTAGACTGCAAAGCTGGTTTCAACTGCAAGGTCAGTGGTTCAAGCTCACCAGCTGCTCCTTGGAAACCCTATACAGGATCACTATTGGCTGGAACCAACTCAATGGCACTTAACAACAACAATATTTTTAAAAGGGAGTTCTAGTAGCATAACAGTTATGCACTGGGAAGCAGCAGTTCAAATCCACCAGCCACTCTGCAGGAAAGATGAGGTTTTTTGCTCCTATAACGATGCACAGCCTGAGAAACCTTTACAGGGCTGCTCTGACTTGGAACTGATGCAGTGGTACACCACCACCAATGCCTCTGAAATGTGCTACACCTACAGCTGCTAGAAGTGATTCATACAAGAGTCTAATAAAGAAATGCCTACTTAGAACTGCCACTGTGGCACTGAAGAGACTGTGTCCTGATACAAACACTTCTAAAAACGTGTTTGTATCCAAGGCTACAATCTGATACTTTGATTATCCAGTCTTCTAATGGAAAAGCATATAATGTAACTGATGAAAGGACTCCCTAAGTACAAATAACCTGGATGGATATGTGCTCCTAATTACATGTTAGTAGTCAAGAAATAAAAATAGCAAACCCTTTATCCCCCTCAGAAGACAAAATTATGGCAATTACTCAAGGATTAGGTCTTCATTAGCAAATTAAACTCAAGTTTCCTCCAATTTCCAAAAGCAGAGTTAAAATGATGGTCCAACGATGTGACCACATCATTATGCCGCGTTGAAAGCCATCACCACATAACACACGACTCAGGAACGGTGTCTGAGACAAGGTACCTGCTAGCGTTACTTGTGGACGTGTATGCATTACTAGAGGTGGCTGACGAACTGAACACGCTGTCGAGTTCCGCCAGTGCTGCGTACTTGTCTGAAGATGCACTTGGCTGACTGGGAACCGAAACCACAGAGGCAGCAGGAGCTTTACCGGGGGCCCCAAAGCCACTCCCCTGGTCACCACCTGGGAACAAGCAAAAACCAAAAACAGAATCATACCAAAAAATCTGGATTTAGACTGGCTAGTACATTTGCTCATGAAACATAGGTAAATATAAAACTGATTTGGAGCTAAGCAAATAAATGGATAGCATTCTAGAGTAGTAAATGAATATATTATCAATAAGAGAGTAGACCCCCTAAACAAAAATGGCAGTATGACTGGCTACTACAAGAATAAGCAAGTTGTTTGTTAGGAAGCCATCAAGGCACGCTATCAAGTTCCTTCAGGACAAACTCCCCTCTAAGACTGAAACTCAAAGGGAACACAGGAGCAGGGCATGTGAGCTTGCTGGTGCCATGTTAGTCTACTGGGAAATGGTAGAGGGGGAAAGGCAGCAATGAAGCAATGAGCCTCAGCCCATTTCAACCATGTTCCACAGACTCCTATGGACCTGGTGATGACAGAGAGAAGAGGAAGGGCTGGTTGGTCCAAAATATGGTGAGATTTGGGGACTCCTGAGCCTATGGACAAAGACATAGCCACAGAGGTCTAGAGCTGAGAGCGAAGCATCTAGCTGATATGGATAGGGATAGGCAACTTAGACATTGGCTACCTAAAATGAGGAGGTGATAAAGGCACGAAGTGACTGGCTTACAAGATTTCAAGGGGGAGCTTAGTTTAATTGTGTTTGTTGGCGGGGAGGGGGAGAAGAGTGCCCACTGAATAGTTTTCATCTTGTCTAGATGGGTCTGGTTATAACAGATGGGGATAAGATTCATATGATTCAATAGTGAATACTTGTTATCATGACTAATTGCAACTGTCACAACGGTAAAGGTAGAAATTTTGTAAGAAAAACGGGATTGGTTAATCTTACAGTCCAGAAACAAAGGACCCTAGGATCATCAAGGGAGAAAAGCATAATTGGAATGAGAGATCTTATCCAGAGAAGCAGCAACACCAGAGATGGAGGCAGAGATAGGGATAATGGAGAAAGGGAGCAGCTGAGGACTCTACATACAGATTCATGGGAAGAGAGGAACTCAAGAGATGGCAGCCAGGAGGCAGACTTTCAGAATGTGCCCTTTGGTGGTATAAATTATTATATATGCCTGAGTGGTTTAAAAAAAATAAAAAGGAGCTAAAGTAAATAGAGAGAGAAACACTGGTAACTGATGGTGTATGGTGGTGGTGGTGGTAGTGATGTGCCGTGGAGTTGGTTCTGACTCATAGCGACCCTGTACAGGGTTTCCGAGGCTATAAATCTTTACGGGAGCAGAACGCCTCATCTTTCTCCTGTGGAACAGTTGGTGGAGGGGATTATAATCATTATTATAATGAAAACACGGTGTATGATACATTGAATGTAAAACTGATGATCTGCCCTATAAACTTTTACTCAATCCACACTAAAAACCTTAAAAAAAAAAAAAGACAGTGGACTTTAGCTGCTATTCATACCACTGTAGAAGACTAAATAGTGCTGCTGTAACAAAAACCAGGAGTCTTTATTAATCAATAATATACCAGATCATGCAAACAATGTAACATCTATCTCTAAGACAGGCTCAACTCATTTAAGTGAGTATATAAATTCATATAATGCTGGAACCAAATGTAGATGTGCCATCAACAGTATTGTTTTCTCATGATTTTCCATGGAAAGATTGGAGATAGTAGTAACAGGTAACATTTACTGAACTGTCCTCTAAAAATGTGTTACATACTACTCCCTGTGCATGTAAACAGGACTATTTGCAAATAGATTATACCAGATTGGGATGGGTCCTAAACCGAATTTCTTCTGGGTGGTGTCTAATTAAAAGAGGCAAATAGATACAGAGACACATACACAGAGCTGTGGGGACAAGTGCCATAGGAGCATCGTTTATAAGCAAATGATGTCAAGAAACGCTGGCAGTCAAAAGAAACAGGAAGAAGGCTCATACAAGGTCCATGGAATGGTGACAGATACTAACACCACAGTGTTTAAGATGGCATGACTGTGATCCACAATTTCTTTCAGGCATTTGGTTTTAGGGGAATAACAGTAAGCTAAGACAGTCTATGCTAGGCACTGTTCCGAATACTTGACACGCAATGATACAAGTAATACAGCTGTGGGAGGCAAATGGTCTTATTACCCTCATACTGGAGCCGACAAAAGCTAGGGCTAGGAGTCAAGAGGCAAAATTGAGTCTAGCACCCAGCCCATACTTTCCACCATCTGTTATGGATTAAACTGTGTACTCCCAGAAATACATACTGAATTCCTATGGATACAGTCCTGTTTGGAAACAGGTTTTTCTTTTGCTGTGTTAATGTGTTAGCAAATCCCAAACATTAGCACATCTGTGCTCTAAAAGGGAACAGTAGAGAGAAACAAACAAATGCCATTTGAGGATCACCCATAAGTCCAGGAACGCCCAAACCTATTGCCAAGTAAGGAACCAACATGCTCAAGATGCAGATTTGGATGTTTAGCCTCTAGTGCTCCAGAATTCTGGTGTGGGCCTTTAGGATTAGCACTGGACTGTGAACCACAAGTTCAGCAGTTTCAAACCCAGCAGCAGCTCCTCGGAAACCTACTGGGTTCACCATGAGCTGAAACTGACTCTACAGCACTTAATAACAACAACATCTCTGAGAAAACGCATTCCTACTCTTTAGAGCCAACCAACCACTGTGGTGTTTACTCCTGCCGCATTGGAAACTAAGACACCAGGTAGGGTGCATTTACAGAGACAAAATACCAGCCTGGAGGCAAAAAGTGAGTAAGAATATACTTTATACATCATAAAATGCCATGCCATGAAGCACCAAGACACTGACAAAAATGCTTCACATAAAATTTGCTGTTGTTAAGTGCCTTCAAGCCGGTTCAGACTCACAGTAAACAGCGCCCCCGCCCCCAACCAGGGATTCCGAGAGCAGGTGAAGCCCATAAGTTTTAAACTGCAGGCTGTGCAGTTACCAGTCCAGTGCTTATCACACCAGGGCTCCCATATAGTATAGAAACCACCAAATAACGCTTCACTCAAGCTGTATTAATAGGATCTCTGGAGAAAAAAAGAAAAAGAAAAAAATATATATATACATATATAAATCACAGGTAATTCATTTGACAACAGCTGTGATGAAGTCTACTAGACTCATGATGCCCCATGTGTCAAGGCAGAACGGTGTGCCAGAGGGTTGTCAATGACTGAATTTTACATCTCAGACCTTTCTTCTGAGGTGCCTCTGAGTGAACTCAAATCTCCAACCTCCTGGTTGGCAGCTGAGTGTGTTAACCATTTGCATCACCCAGGGATTCTTCTTTCAAAACCTGCTGTTTGCTGCCATCAAGAAGTTGACTCGGCACCTGACTCATGGCACCTCGTAAAACTAGAAGCTTAAAAATGAGTCATCAGTTTGTATTGCATTAGGACTTTCAGACTAGGATTCTAATTCTGGTTGTGATCATCTAACATGAACAGACTTCTTAGAGAGTTATAGGATTGCTTATTGTCCAAATACAAGGTTATTTGTCCGACTGTGCAGGCTATTTTCCCTTAACCCAGTATGAGGGGCTTTCTCTTCAGGAGGTAATATTAAGATACTCTGAATAGGTGAGACAATCCAGCCAGGCCCCAACTTCCTTCTGTGGAGGTGCTTGGTCCTGGCTGATACATGGCAAGGCCTCCAGTTTTCCAAGGGTGAGATGAAGTGAGTGGTGAGGTATGATCAAGGGAAGTGAGGTGAAAGCCCGCGGTGAGCTGTGTCTCAGACACTGTGCCAATGAGTCCGTCTTCACTTCACTCTATCAGGGTGGACTCACAGACAAACAGTGATGACACGCCTCTCACTGCACCTACAGCAGATGTTCTTTGAGTGGGAGGAAATGGCTATGTAACTTACCTCAACGGGGCTTTTAAGATCCTTTTACAACCCCTTAGCACATATTTAGAAGAATACCTATTAACTCCACTTAGAGGGACAAAGTAAAGATTTTTCAACAGATCCTAAATATTGGTATTCGGTGCTGGCAGAGGCACATTAGGGTACAAGATAATTAATGCAAAACCAAATACTGCCCCCACTAAAGGTGTGTTTGAAGGGAGAAGAGAGTTCTCCCGGGCACTATATTGAAAAGTTTTGGTTAGGGTGTATGACCAATATTGGGGCCAAAGGCGGATGTGGAGAAGACTATTCACCTACCTTATTATGTTTCAATTAAAAAAGATGATTGATAAAATAAGGTTAGAAACCTATTTACAGTTATACATGAAGAGTGCCATAAAGAACCATTGGAAATAAATGATCCTCATAGCAAATTAGTAACTGCTAATGATATTTATGTCAACAATATTAATGATATTAATGAGTCCTGGTGTGGCGCTGTGGGTTAATGTGCCAGACTGCAAAGCCGTTTGAACTGCAAGGTTGGTGGTTCAAGCTCACCAGCTGCTCCTTGGAAACCCTATACAGGGTCACTATGGGTCAGAACCGACTCCATGGCACTTCACAACAACAATATTTCAAAGCTAATGCTAGGATGTCTGAATGTTGTTGTTATGTGCCGTGGAGTCGTTTCCGACTCATAGCGACGCTGTACGGTTTTGGAAGCTGTAAATCTTTACAGGAGCAGAAAGCCTTATCTTTCTCCTGCGGAACAGCTGGTAGTTTCAAACTGCTGACCCTGAGGACAGCAGCCCGATTCGTAACCACTACGCTACCAGAGCTGTCTGAATAGTCCACCAAAAAAGAGTGAACTCTACATAGTTTTAGCAATGGTAGTAATTCTCAACTTGAGATTTCCTTTATACTACTCTTGGAGCAGGAGTAATACAAGGGGACTTCAAAACATTCACAGGCAAATAGAATGAAAAGTTTATGGAATTTGTACACATAATTTTTGAAGTCCCCTCAAACATTAAAATCAGGACATTGTTTGATACACGGCTACCATAGAAAAGTCTGAAAACAATATTTCACATTAAACTATTAAACTAGTTGTTGCTGCATCGGCTTTGACCCATCAAAGCTGAACTGTGTTCGACAGCGTTTTCAAAGGCTGATGTTTTTTGATAAGTAGATCACCAGACCTTTTGTTCACGGCCCCTCTCTGGGTATACTCAAACTGCCAACCTTCGGGTTAGCAACCAAGTACATTATTAACCCTTTGAACTACAGGGACTTCAGCTCCACACTGTTGCTGTTAAGAGGCGCCCAGTCAGTTCGGACTCATGGAGACCCTGTATAGGGTTTCTGAGCTTGCAGTTAGCAGTCCAGTGCTTATCCTACAGCACCACAGCAGGCAGCTATAAGGTACTTCCTCATTGTGAATCCCCAAGTACCCATATGTCCTTCAACACAGTTCACATGTAAGGCAACCTGATCTTTCAGCGATGCCCAGGCAAAATGACAGAAACAGGCCGCAAGACAGCAGCCTAACGGCGAGACAGTAAGTGGTATTTCAGCACCCGTCTGGGCTACACTGTGACGGTTCACCAGGATTAGGAATCCAAAGCATCTCAGATCCATTACGTGCCTAGGCATCATGAACATTTTACTCAGAAATGCTCAGTATAGACAAATGTTTGACACAACTGAGAAAAGCTAACATCCTCCAGTTTTAATGAATACAACCAAATGTAGAGCATGGTTTAATATACAAGCAATCTGGCTTCATTTTGTTGAAAGAGTGATACCTTGCCCAGCACTGAAGATATTGTCTAAATTAGCAAGGGCTGCATATCTGTCCGCTGTCTGGAGGCCACTTTTATTCGTTGACACTTTACTAACAGCTGGTGCTGTTTGATGACTCTGGGAAGTATTGAAGGTTCCAAAATCAGCACTGGAGGATTTGGGGAAGTTATCAAAATGAGCAAAATTAGCATTTACTGATCCAGCACTTCCACCTGTAACAGAATAAACAGAACACTTAAAATTTCTAGCTTTTTCCCAATCCCCTTTGGTAGATAACACAATAATTTCTTTCTAAATTAAGTATTCTCTAACTAACCCTACATATTTAAAACTGATTGCCAAACGGCATTCCACTTTAATCTACACTCGACTTTTTGTGAAGGTGAATTTTCAATGGTCCTGACCGCCTGGACAATAGGTTTACATGCTTCAGTATCTACCCTGGAGCAATATAAGGTAACTTCACACTACCTGCTGAGACTCGGTTACTTTACAGAACACTGACATAAGGTGTAGAGTCAATTCTGCTCCGTGAGTTTTCTTGGCTCTAACCCTTACAGAGCAAATGTCCAGGCTTTTCTTCTGCAGCACTGCAAGGTGAGTACAATTGGCTAATCTTTAGGTTTGCACTAGAGTGCCAGCAGGTACCCTACAGAACATTCAGCAATACACTAATAACTATGACCGGTTACAAAGTATAGGTCCGTGGAGAGGTGACCGAAACTAAAACCACAGCATTTTTGTGATACATACTTTCTTAAAAGGTGACCACTGAGCACTAGGCTTATTTTTACGAACTAGTATTTAATCCCACGTAATAATTTAATGGGCACACAATACCATGACACCCATAGTAGAACCCTGACCCACCATGTAGTTCAAGGAAAGAAAGCTGTAGCAATTTAACTGTTACAGTAAAAGCTGACTTCCTAAAAGTACAATGTACGAATTATCACATTAAAGTATACTTTCCATCCCAGAGACCGCCCTCAGACCACTGCTGAGTTGCCTCCATGGCCAGTGTATCTGATTCTATTTGCACATTTACAATATTCATTCTAGATGCCTACATTTCACTTTCATAGCATATGGTGCTGCGGGTTAATGCGCTAGATTGCAAGGTCTGTTTGAACCGCAAATTCAGTGGTTCAAGCTCACTAGACACTCCTAGGAAATACTATACAGGGTGGCTAGGAGTTGGAATCAACTCCACGGCACTTAACACCAACAATGCCAAATAAAAAAAATCAAAGCCATTGCTATCGATGGATTCCAACTCATTAGCAACCCTAAGAGGATGGAGTGGAACTGCCCCATCGTGTTCCCAAGGCTGAAATCTTCATGGAAGCAGATGGCCACAGTTTTCCCCCATGGAGTAGCTGGTGGGTTCGAATCGCCAATCTTTTGGTAGCAACTGAACGCTTTAACTATTGCACCAACATGGCTCCTTTCCACCAATCAGGTCTTTAGATACAGCAGAACAAACATCTGAGGAGGCTTCATAAAGTTTGTGGAAAAATGCAATTAACAGACAATGAAACTGCCCCACCTACTTTCTTAAACCCCCTTATAAATTGATAAAAGCTCTTGTAGGGATTAAACTTTGACTGCTTTCAATTAATACTAAGTAATATGTGGATGAGCCCTGGGATAGCACTTCAGGACACGCACTGTATTGCTAACCAGGCTAACTTCAAGGTTGGCAGTTCAAATGCATTAGCATTATACAGAGCTCCTACAAGTGTGAAACAACTTGATGTCACACAACAACAACATGTGGTTGCACTGAGAAGATTGTAATCTGCTACAAACAGCTGGTGACCAACGCAGACACTAAACTTGCAATAGCTGTATAAAGGATTCTATTTCAAGTTATTAAAAAGTGAGTTAGCAAATCAAATTTTCACTTTATGGTATATTATTATGATAGCTAATGCAGCCTGAGTTTATTAATAGATTACGTGGCAGTAAAAGTGAGAACAGATTAGCATAAAAAAAATGATAACAAACCATAAAAACCCACAAAATAGAGCATACCACATACAAATGACTAAGGTGCCTGACTGACAAGAGAACTTACTGTGGGCAACCTGAGGAGGAAAAGCAGGGTAAATTCACCCAAACCGCAGCTAGATGAAAACATTCTAAATGCTGAGCAGCCAGAGATTATATAAATTGTGAAATTTAAAGGGAAAGAAAAAAGGAAACTAGAAAGGAAAGGCTGAAAGACAAGACAGAGTTAAAAAGAAAGTAAACAGCCAAAGATCTAAGGAAGTGTGCAATGCATTTTGGAAAACAGTAGTTTACGGGAGAATATTCCATTTCTGCACTGAAAACAGTACCCAAGTTTGATTAAAATGGCTGGTATAAAAAGAAAGCCAAAAACATAAAGTGGCCCATTATGTAATCTAGTATCAACTAAAACATTTTAACATTTTTTTCTTATGCTTGATGCCCTAAGAATCTCTTGCATTTTAGTTCTATGGAAGCAGGCAGTTTGATGTGTTTTAAGAAGCAAACCATACTTCAGGACATCAGGTTCCTGTGCAGGAGAAGGAGAATGGACATGGTGGATTAGGCAGCACACCAAAGTTCAGAAAAGCAAACACACACATGGAAAAAAATAAAAATTCAGGTTTCCCCAGAGCTCGGTAAAACAGAACTACTTCAAAAGCCGGTCATTACAGAATGTTAAGTCTAGAGTAATTTTTCAAAACGAAACTAAAGACATTTAATTCTTTTTCTTAAAAGGAAAAATTCAAGCATGATGCTGGAGCAGCTCTACCTGTAGTTTGGGGTTGAAAAGGAGAGTGACTTGCTGTGGGGAAACCTCCAAAATTACTCGAACCACTAGACTGTCCAAATGCATCAAAGTTTGCAAACTCTGCATGTGCAGAATTCTGAGCTGTAAATGGCAAGGAACAAAATATGTTAATGATGATGAAAACTACAAAATGAAAATAGATGACAAATGAATTTAACAGTTTTATGAAAGTTCCTATGTACCTATCTATCATCACTTATTTTAAACAAAATTAATTTCAAAATCAGATTTTAAATTCTACTAGTGCTTAAATCTATTTTAAACAATATTAAGTGTTACCTAGAAATTTCCCAAACCACCGTGTAAACTGGTAAGATTTTCACAACACCCTTTAAATGTCCTCAAAAGTAATACAACAACAATGAGTGCTGATGAAGAGAATTCTGGATTCAGGGATATATATATATATATATAAATTACAGTAAGTGGATTGAGAAGTGATCTGGAAACTTCAGTGATCAAAATTGGTATTGAGGGACTCATAGGTATGAAGTTAACTAAATAACATTAATAAACTATTCCTTTAAATTATAACTTTGGGTTTATAAATATACAGAACACCACAGTGTATGTTATCGGTGAAAAAAAACGTGAATACTTGTGAAAAAGCAGACACTCACCAGATAAATGAAAAATAGTCACATTCTATGGAAATTCTGTTGTTTCAAACATTAAAATTAATGAAAATATGAAGGCCAGCAGGAATTGTAGCAATACTGCCATCTCAGACTCAGAGAAAAAGATCGAGTTCTACCCCCTACCTTGCCCTTCATTTTAAAGGAAAATGCTAGGATTCCCTAAACTGGAAAAGGGTAAATTATTAACAATTCAGGTTAAAACAAACCAAAAAAGGCAAATAGATGCTGGATGATAATTTCAGATAAAGAAGTATCTGGGATGCAGGAATGGTGGTGACAAATATGAGAATGAAAGGAAACCCAGAAGGGAGGAGGAAGGGGCGGATGTCTCCAATAGTAAGAGGTAGTCGTTTCAAAGCCTTTACCAGCAATTATTGTTCCTAAAGAAATAATCTTACAAATGTGTATGGCTGTATATAAAAACTAGATGGTGCGTGTATGTTGTTGTTTAATAGTAAAAAAATGACCAGCATGAGGGGACTGCTTGAATATCTTATGGAACATCATATGATAAAATGTAATACAAGCATAAAAAATTACTTAAGAGTATTATTTAGTCATATGCAAAACTGTTTATGACAAAGTAAAATAACAGGCTAATTAATATATTACAGATACTCTTAATTCATCAATTCTGTTAAACTCAACATATGATAATGTGCATGGGAAATCTGAAGTATAGCAGAATGGTAGTGTAGTGGTTACGAATTGGGCTGCTAACCTCAAGGTCAACAGTTCGAAACTACCAGCAGTTCTGTGGGAGAAAGATGAGGCTTTCTGCTCCTGTAAAGCTTTACAGCCTCGGAAACCCTATACAGGGTCACTATGAGTTGGAACTGACTCCACAGTACTTAACAACAACAACATCAACCTTCTCCTGCATGCTTCCTTAATTTGGCAAATGTTTACAATAAATATATATTTTCCTTGTAAACAAACCAAAAAAAGACACTCAACAAAACATACTTGTGCTAACAGAGCAATATATTAAATGCTATTCTAGGAAGACAATCAGGAAAATTAAAACATTTATGAAATCACTGCTTTGTCTATATCTAAAAGATATGGCAGGCAGAAGGGAACTGGAGCTCGAATAGACCCCCTTGTACTAAGTACCAGCTCCAAGTCCTTTCTTGTGTTTGCAACTTTAGCAGTTCCCAAACATACGGCACTATCTCACATGTCCCACCACTCAGCTACCAGTTTGTTGGACCTGGTGGCTTGTATGTTGCTGTGATGCTGGAAGATATCACTGGTATTTTAAGTATCAGCAGGGTCAGCAGACTAAGACAGACTAGGAAGGAGGAGAGGCAGAAAACACTTCTGAAAGGTTATTGTGGCGGGGGTAAAATGCTGCTGAGTCAGTTCCAACTCACAGCGACCCTGTAAGTTTCTGAGGAGCACCTGGTGGGTTTGAACCACCAAACTCACAGTTAGCAGTCCAGTGCTTATCCTGTAGCGCCACACCAAGATGAATAGCAGCAGCACATTATCGGATATAAGGCTGTATCCTTTCATCACACTTATTCAGTGGGTATGCTGAGCAAATAATACAAGAAGCTGGATTCTATGAAGAAGAACGTAGCATCAGGATTGGAAAAGACTCATCAACAACCTGCGATATGCAAATGATAAAACCTTGCTTGCTGGAAGCCAAGAGGACTTGAAGTACTTACTGATGAAGATCAGAGACCATAGCCTTCTGGGTGAATTACACCTCAGTGCAAAGAAAAAAAACACTCTTAAAAGTAGACCATCAGAACATCATGATCAATGGAAGAAATAATGAAACAGTCAAAGATTTCATCTTATTTGGATGCACAATCAACCCTCATGGAAACAACTGTCAAGAAATCAAATAGTTCACTGGATTAGGCAAATCTGCTGCAAAAGACTTCTTAAAAGTGTTAAGAAGCAAAACTGCTACTTTAAGGAATGAGAGGTGCCTAACCCAAGCTATGGTATGTTCAATCATCTCATATGCATGTCAATGCTTGACAATGAATAAGGAAGACGAAAGAATCACTGTGTATGAATTATGGTGTGGGTGAAGAATACACTATACTTAAGTATGACTTAGGGTGCAGGTGAGGAATATGGAACACACGAGAGATGGTCAGAAGAGCAACAAAGAAAACTGCTTTGGAAGAAGTACGGCCAGACTGCTCCCTGGAAGTGATGCTAATGAGACTCTGAAGGGCCAGTCCTTGGAGAAGGGCATCAGACTTGGTAAAGCGGCGGGTCAGTAAAAACTAGGAAGACTCTCCACAAAATGCATTAACATAATGGCAATAAGAACGGGCTCAAACATAACAGCTGTAAAGGAGCTCTGGTAGCATAGTGGTTACGAATCGGGCAGCTAACCTCACCGTCAGCAGTTCGAAACTACCAGCGGTTCCACAGGAGAAAGATGAGGCTTTCTGCTCCCGTAAACATTTACAGCCCCAGAAAGCTTGTACAGGGTCACTATGAGTCCTAACTGACTCCACAGCATATAACCACCATGGGTTGGAATCAATGCAAAGGCACTTAACAATATACAAGTTTGTGGATTAATGGAATTTGTCCACAAACCTTTTGATACATTGAACTTACAGGGCATATGTACCCTGTCCTATAAGAGTTGCTATGAGTGGACTTGACCCAATGGCACATAACAACATAAAAACATCATGAAGAAAAACTCAGTCGAACACACAATCTGTTTTTTGTTATTCAAGCCTATTTCATTACATTTATATTTCCCCAGACTTTTCAATGAGAGCATTAAGCACATAAATAAATAGGTAGTCAGGTGACCCTACCTATTTGTTAAGGCAAGGCAGAGCTTGGTAACACTTCTACCAGTTTTTAACTTAAAGACATTCAATCTATTCATTGTCATCAGAGAAGGGTTATGAGTAGATTTTCAATCTTATAAATGCTGTAGAATGAATCTTTGAAAAACACAACTTTGGAGATGACACACGAATAAATTCAATTACATAAAAATTGCTATTTGAACCTTTAGCAATCTCTGGACAGATGAATCTAAACCATGCAGAGTATAACAAAAATGAAAGATGTTTCTCTAAGAACTTCATTTCATAAAGTGTTCATAAATTATTCTAGTTGAATTTATGGCATCAACTTAACGAGGCAGACTCTTGCTGAGAACTATCTTTCCTCTTCAATGAGAACAAGTGTTCATGAGAGAACAGGGGATGTAAGCCGGCCGCCTTCAGCAAAGTCATTAGGCTTTGTGTTGCCTTTACAGAATTTAAAATGCTTTGAACCAACCCCTAACCTTTAAAAATAAAGCATATCACATTAAAACAAAACAAAATTCCTTGTTTCTCTGTGTCTCTAGAAATGCTCAACTTCCTATGTAGCGAGAGTTGACTGGAACATCCCCTTAAAAAGATCACATGGCACTTTCCACACTCATTTGTCTGACCTGCATTGTGGGCAACAGAAGCCTATTACAGTTAACCATTCACTGGACTTATGATATAGTATCCACAAAGCAGCAAAAGTACTCAATACTGTAGGTAAATTCTATTTCTATCTTTAGGACTATTCTGTAGAAGATACAGTATTATGAACACTATGGCCTTGCCCCACCGAAGCACATCCATAAAACACCTCAGCCAACAAGCTCATACAAAGGTTTAAGAATGGTTTTGACTTTGAAATCATTAATTTATCTGTAAAAGAACTTATTTACCATAAAATAATGCTAATCCAAATAGAATATCTGAATAATTATTATTTGCTATTAAAAGTTCCAGCTGTCACATCATTGTATTCAGGATATGATTTACACCTAATAACTTGAAAAACTAAATGACAACTCCATCATCAAAGACTTTATGAACAGTATGTGGAAACTTAAGAGATTCAGCATACTCACAAAGGCTATGCAAATGGAAAAGGATGTTTCAGATTGAGCCATGGAACTATTGGCACCTAAAACACACTCCAAGGCCAAATGCCAAAATTTGGCCATAAATAGTCTAGTGTTGTTAAGTACTGTGAATGATTTCATTGCTTTGCCTTATAAAAAATATATGAGGGACTTCAAAGAGTGCATGCAAAAATTGAAGTATAAGATACTGGAAGACTTCCATGAACTTTCTAAAGGTCCCTCAATACAGCTGAGTCTCCTAGATGCAAACTGCAAGGCAAATCAGATGTCAGAGGTGCTCTGGCCACTTGTGAATGAAAGGACTGTAAGAAACTCTTAGGCTTAATGACTGTTAGGTGATTTCCTCACTGATAATGCACTTGAAAAATAGACAAAACAGTAAAAATGTTCTATCTTCTATCCCTCTGAGTTGGTGTCCTGGTGTGGTGCTACAGGATAAGCACGAGACTGCAAGGTCAGTTTGAACTGCAAGGTTAGCAGTTCAAACCTATCAGTCACTCCTCAGAGACCCTACACAGGTTTGCAATGAGTCAGAA